TTTCCCTTTCCTCCTATTTCCTACACTGAGACTGGCAGTAGGACATCCTCGCAGAAATTGCTTACCTTTCTTGTCCAGCTGTATCCCACAGCTGTAAGGCAACCTGGGTGTTATCCACCATCAGACTCTTCACCTGGTAATCAATACCTGTCAGGAAGGTAACAATGATCATAAGAAAGGATGATGAGAGAGCAGCTTGCCATTGCAAGGCCAATGGCCAAGATCAACACTATTTAGTTCAGGGAAATTGCAAGATTGATTCGAAATTGGGCAAAGGACCATCTTTACCTTTAGTTTGGCTAAAATACAGGCAAAAATTGTGTGTCCAGGCTGACCTTCCCACCCTTCCTAGCCAGATGAGTCAGAAACCCTGTTACTTACCGATAGTTGCATTGAGCTCAGCCAAGAACCTGTCATAGCAGAAGCGGTGGATGAAGGAACTCTTCCCAACACCGGAGTTCCCTACAAACACCACTTTAAAGATGCGGTCTGGGGAACAGCTGGCTGGTTCCAGTGCCTGGAGCTACAATGGAAGAAAGGGATGCAGTTTTGAAAAGCCCAGCTGCAGACTGTGCTTTGATTTAGGCATTGGACCCCTGCACTATAAACCTATGGAGCTCTGGAGAAATCCTCAAGTCCCTGGTAGCAGGTGTTTAAGGAAGAACCCCAAGTAATTAGACTCACCCTGGTTTCGGTGCCAACAGGCTGTCCTCTAGGAGGCAATGGAGCATCATCTAATCCATCGGCATTTTTTCTACAGTCGGCATCACCCTTCAAAGTCATCTTCAACCACTCAGCATCTGCTGCCAATGACCATCTCTCCTTGTCTCTGCTCTTCTCTCTGAAGTTTGTGCTGCCTCCTTCTCCTGTCTTCAGCCATGTCCCATTGCCTGGGAAGTATTTACAGTTCTTTCTGTTGGGTTCTTCCACTGCCACATCCACTGGAAAGGTGAAGGGAAGGTCCGCAGAGGCCAGTTGTCTGTATTAAAGCCCACAGACACCACAAATAGGGTGGGAGAGTGGGGGGGGAAGGGGAAGAGGAGGAGGTTGCAAATTCCCAAAACAACCAATGCAATCCAATTAGTGCATATGCAACGCTTGCAGGAACTCTACTTCATACATACAGTCCCCATATACCCTGTGACTAAGGCATCAGCAGCACCCTTTTTTTAAAGAGAGACAGCTCACCTGAGCTATGCTGTATGCATATGTGCCAACATATATTCCATTAATTTTACTAAAAATTCCCACCTTCTGGATTTTTCAAGGATTCTTTGCCTCCCACTTCCCCCAATACTAAAAAAATGAGGCAAAACATACAAAGGTGGCAACAGGAAAAACATTTTAAAAAAAACAAACAAAAAAGCAACAACCCCCCCCTCTATTTTTGTCACCAAATACAACACAAAAAGAAGTAACAAAGGTTTTGAGGTTAGTGAAAAGGGTTTTGACTGCAGGCAGTAGGGCGAGGGCTGGCTGATGTGCACGCATGTTACTGCCCTCTGCTGAAAGCACACAGCCGTGCTCCAGGAAACCAGCCCATCGCTCCCAAACACTGCTGTAGCAGAGTCTTACTGAGTTCAGGCAGCAGGAACCTGCCACAGGTGTGCAAACTGCAGTGAGAATGCTCACACCAGGTCACTTTGCCTGGTGGTGGCTCTGCTCTGACCTGCATCCACGTCTGGCCCGAGGTAAGGGAGCCAGGACCTGAAAGATGTTTGGTTTATAAAGCTTCCAGCCAGCCACGCTGCGCTCTCAAAGGCAAGAAATCCCCAGGACCCCTGCCCAAGCTGTGGTAGCGGGGAATAGGTGTTGCACTGACTGTGCTTACACAAGAACAGGCTGATGCACTTTGTTCACTGCGGGTAGAGCTGACAAGGTAAGTGGAGAAACAATCTTCAGAAGAACAGCTAGAATAACCGATTTAAACTACTGGAATCATTTTTGAGGAGCAAGGCAGCATCTTAGCTCTGCCTTGGCTTTCCATGGTTAAAGAACTAGGTGAAGGGAGTGAGAAGGCTTAGAACTCAAAGGGCTTTATCCACCACAGGTATCTCCATTGCCTTCATTGGCCACCAGATTGCATTTGGAAGCAAATTAGAGACCAGAGGCTTACTACAGTCAATCTCTTCAGAGGCAGCGCATCCCACCTCTCTCTGCAACATTTTTCTCTTGCTACTAGTGCAGGAATCAAGGCAACAACTCTCTTCTCTCACTCCTGCGAGTACACCTCATCAGGGCTGCAAAATTCACCTGCTGCCACGCCTACACTTTCTCTGAGAAAGGGAGCCCACATTCCTGGTTGTCCTCCCTCTATCTGCCCCAAATGCCAGCCCAGAGCCAGGCCAGCTGGAACCTCTCCCCATGGAAAACAGACACATCCTCCCAGGCTCAGGGGAACGGCCCCATCTCCCAGGGCTGGCAGGAGTCACAGCAATGAGGGGCTGAGACTCAAAAGCCTCTTCAGGGGGAGGGGGGTGTGGGGAAGGGACAAACACAGAACTTTCTGAACAGTGACACCAGATCTAATGGATTTTATTCATGTTTCTAAAGCAATGTGGTGTGATACAGCACTGGGACAGAGACAGGTCCAACAAATACTTAGAATCATAGAATCATTAAGGTTGGAAAAGACCTCTAAAATCATCGAGTCCAACCGTCAACCCGGTACCACCATGCCCACTCAGCCATGTCCCTAAGCGCCACATCTACACGTCCTCCCCTTCTCACATCACCCTCACTGCCAGACTTCTCCACCTGTTAAGTCTTTCCAGTGGGTTTATGCCAGCAGCAGCTAGCAGGATCTTTGCAAGAAATAGCTGGGGAGGAGAATGGGAGAACTTGGTCGTTTGATCCCATGGTTAGTAGGTCGGCCAGTCACACAGCCATGAAAGAGCTCTGCCTCAGACCTATCCAAGCAACCTCCCAGCCTGGGCTCAAGAATCAGCCCTGCTCCACCTGGTTTTCCATCAGGAGCCTGAAGGCCCTTCAGCCCAGGAGCCTGAAGCTCAATTCTTAAATGCCACTACCAGAACTGCAAGCATTAAGGGTGAGTTGAAGTTGGAAGAAACTCTGAGCCTAGACCTATGTCTCTGATTGGCACCAGGAGAAACTGGGAAGCGGTGGAACCTTCTGCAGAGACCTGGTAGGAAACAGGGAAGCGTGCTGCCTTTAAAACATGTTTGGGGCCAGCAGTTGCAGGGGGAGATCCAGCTCCAAGCCAGGTCAGGGCTGGGCTGGCCTCTCCTGCCTCTCAGAGGAACGAGGCTTTCGGCCACTACCAGTGTGCTGGTCACACAACTAGTTCGCAAGGGCTGATGCTTAATGCCAGCACAGTTCAGGCAAGCAGGCATAGGTGGGTATTGAAGCCACTGTACAGTTTGCATGTAGAATGTGGCAGGGGGGGAAGGCCTTGGCCACACAGACATGTTCGCCTGCCCTGGCTGAAGGGGAGGCCTGGTGTGCCAGGTGAGCGTCTGCATAGGTGTGGAGGGAGATGGGCAGGATGAACCCACCTGGAGCTGGGCCCTCTCCTTGGGGCTTTCAGCTGCCAGAAAGAACACAAGCCTTGTGCAACTCCTGCCCTCTCCCATGCCCCAGGGATATGGGCTCTGGCATGAGGCGCCAGTGGACAGGATTTCTGCCCGAGGAGGAACTGGCACACTTGGGAGATGATCCAGTCATTTTAATGGAGCTGCCTGACTCGGTCAGAGGCAGCGTTTGTGACTCCCATCCCATGAACGCTCCCATAGCTTCTGATGGCATTTAGGTTTGCTCACCCATTGCTGCAGGTAGAAGCAGCCCAGAGGGGGGCCACCCCCCTGTGGAAATTAGCTTCACGCTGAGCAAACACGACCTGATGCCAAAAGCCAGCTAGAGCCACAGTTAAGCTGCACCCCCCCTGCTCCCAAAACCAGCCAGCACCAAGGTGGGAGAACTAGACACAGGACACAGCTTGACTGACAGGGTGCTCCAGTGGGCACAGACTGACACCACGAACACAACACAGACGCCCATCTAACCGTTTGACCAGCTTGTCGTCCAGCAGGTAACTGCCTAGCACTGACCCTTTCTTCAGCAGGGGCTTTTTGCTCTGTGGCGCCTGGAAGTTGAAAAGAGAAGGGATGAAGAACGCGATTAGGACCCAGGAACCTGACCAGCCCCGGTTCAACCACTCGCCACCTCCGCAGACCGCTTCGGGGAGGCAAGGCTGGAGCCCTTGCAGCCCCGCACCATGCAGTGGTAGCACCCTGCTAGGCTTGAACAGAGGTGAGCACAGGGCTTGCTTTTCTCAGTTCAGCTCGTTTAACTCATGCAAGAAGGCATCACTGATGCTGTTTTCCCCTTTGCAACAAAATCCATCAAAAATGGCGGTGCCCCAAACTGAACTCTCCCTCCAGCCAGCCAGAGCTTTCATTTCTGCGGCTTGTTCTCCACTTGGTCTCACAGCTGAATCCCTCTTTCCCCACCTGCCTTTTTATTATGGTGATGTTTTGTGGGACAGACCAATTGCCCCTTCCTCAGAAGGCACTAGTACCCCTCCTCCACCGGTACTCACCCAGAACTGCACATGCACCATAGGAAAGACAGGAGACTGCTCTGCAAAGCGCAATGCACATGCTCTGCCTTACACGAATATCCCTCTCCATGCTTTCCTCCTACTTACCTCGGACTACACACTTCCTACAGCCAGTGTTTACCAGCTCCCCAGAGAAGGAGAAAGCAGGACAACTCCTCTCACAACCCTCTTCCCCACATACAGCAGTTTTGTCATCCCCAACAGAGTCAAAGATGAGCAACTTGCCCAAGATCACACAGGAAAAGCTGTGGCAGAGAGAGGGTCGACCTGCCAGCTCCCCCCAATGCCATGCTAAAGCCTAGTCTCCCCCCACCCCAAGACTGGCTAACTGCTGTGGCTACCCACACAAAACACGAAGTGAGAGACAGCGTGGCAAGGTGCTCACTGCCTCGGCGCTGGGGGAAAGGGAGATGTACTCGCTCTGTAAGTCTGGAGATTTCTGACACGTCCTCACAAGTTATTTCTGGAGGTAAAGGTGGGGCAAGAAAAGTTTGCAGCCTGCCAGATCTGCCCCTGCCAGCAGTTTTGAACTGACCAAACACCTGCAGGCAGCTCTGGACAGGCCTTCCTTCGTGCTGCCCACAGCCCAGGGGAGGACCATGAAGATTATTTCTTCAATAACCCCTGGCTTATTTTAAAAGGCAAAAAATTAAGAAGCTGCTCTGTTGGACAGAACTCCCAGGACACCTTTACCGCAATGCAGTCCAACAAAAGGAGACATTCTGGACTCCACAGAGGACCTCACCCAACTAGGAACTTTGAGGGGAAAAAAAAACCCCAAAACATTTTTTACATATAAAACTGGTGTACAAGAAAAGCTCCAGCCACAGAAACAATCCAGCACTGAGAAGCTCACAACTGTGGAGCATGTATCTTCCAACACACACAAAGGACCCCCAAGTGCATAGCGACCCTTCAGTCAACACTGATATCAGGCCGTGGTTCAGCCAACCAGTGGCTCTCCAGTGGGGATGGGGGAGGAAGGTTTCAGGGTTTGAGTAGGTTCACTCAAGGGCACTCTCTAGACACACAGAAACAAGGAAATCACGTTACAGCCCACTGGAGCTGAGTCGCAACCTTCAAGTCACCTGCGGAGCAAAGGGGCTCCCAGGTAACCTGCTTCGGCACCACCCTACCTGCAGAGGAAACAGCCTGCAGAGTACATACCTGGGTAAGAAAGGAGAAACAACGGGGCACGTTTTGCCATTGGTTCTGCCATGCTTTATTGGCCTGCCAGGTTTGTGTAACATCTGGCTTTTCACTGGGATGGTAAAGGGACAGACGCGACATCACAGCTGTACAACACACGATGGCAAGGATTCCACAGCAACAGCAGCACAGGTACAAGCATTTTGGATGGGAAAGATTCTGGTTTATCAGTGGGACAGGAAAAATTCTGTTTTATCAGTGAAATACAAATACATGTCCAACGTAGTCAAAGTCCCAAAACACTCTTCATGATGAGCAGACACGAAATTTGCTCTGTCAACATACAGCATGCAAGCATAACTCCATAGCCAGATGAGTCATGGGTGTGAAACGGAACCCGCAACCCCTGGGTCTTAAAAGCACCCAGCAGTGGTTTGCACACAGGCAGAAATAGCCACACATTGCTATCTGTGACCTACTCACCGGGGCAAAACAGTGCCCCACAGTGCCCTTGGACCAGGGTCTGCCCACCCTGGCAAGGCTGGGAACTCTTATGAAGAGCAAGGTATTAAGCTGGGCACTGAGAAGTGCAAAGGAGCAGCAGCTGGGTTGCTATCAGCCACATACAGCCCAACTCCTCCTCCCAACCACTTCAAAATCTTTGCTATGGAAGAACCACTGTTCATCACACCTTCATTTCACAGAAATAACACAACTCTTCCCAGCACTAACAGAGGGTTAAGTTAAGGCCTTGGGTTTCTTTTTAGCCTGTAAAAGCATTGGCAGAGAGTGTCACACACTAGGGATTCCCATGAGAAGGCTGGACTCTCCTTTTTGCTTCTGCAGGGAAGTATTGCTATTTTCTCTCCCCCTTACAGTGGGACAGGCTGGGCAGCAGATCTTCTGCAGGTGTATGACGATAGCAGCATCTCTGCAATCCCTTGGAGCCCTACTTTCTGGTGGACTGAAACGAGAGTGGCCAACAAGATGTCCTGGCTGACAAAGGAAAAAACTTCAGAACAGGCCCAGCATGACACAGCCTTGCCAGAGGAGCAATGGTGGTAGGAGGAGTTCACCCTGCTGCCCCATCCCTACTGCCAGCACAGGCAGAAGGGAGAAAGCAGGTCCTCCATACTATGACTCTCTCTGCTAGGCTCTCTCTTAGGTCCACCTGCAACTGTCACGTTTCAGAGCAGCCCTGAGCAGATCCTAGCAGGTGAAAAGGAGAGGAGAATAGAGGAGAAGCAGACAAGCTTTGCACACACAGAGGTACATACCTCCACGGGCTACCCGCCCCTCCCACAGGAACCCAGAAGCTGATGAAGCACTACACATGGAAAGAGGAGAACAAACGATTTTCTTTGCCTGCTCGCACCAGACTCTGCTACAGAGTGACTGTGTTTATTACTTCTGCAAGAGGGAGCAGGAAGCTCTGGTGCACACACACATACTTAGCAGCTTTAAAAATGAAATCTTTCAGATTTCAGAAACACACACACAAAGGCACACACCTCACCTCCATCCAAAACAGTTACTGAAGTTGTTTTACACAGCTGCTGCTCCACTTGGAGGAGAACTCCAGCCTCTCCCCCAGCAGGGCATCTTGTCCCTTATCTGGGCACGATCCCTGTGCTTCCTTCCGTGTTCCCTTACACACCAGCTAGAAAGTCTCTCACAGCCTACCACTGCCTGTCCTCACTGCAAGGCAGCTACTTCCAGATCTTCAGGTGGGGCATGGTGGCAGAGCAGGCAAAGACACATGGTGGCAGGGATGGGTCCAAGAAGAGCACAGAGCAGCCCTGCCAGTGACATTTGGGAACACAAAGACTTTTTCATGAAAAAATAGTAAGAATTAAAAGTAGGTCACGTATTCGTACTTATCTTGGAGATTGGGAAAGGCCAGAGATGGAGTTGACTGTTCCAGATGTCAGAGGTCCCCTGCTTTCTCCTAGCCCTATGACACAAGGCTCACTACTGCACCTCCACCCCAGCAGAGTTCACAGGAATGAGGAGCTGCCCCAGAGGAACATCTGAAAACATCTGCTACAAACCCAAGGGATCAGAGAAACTCCAAAACCTTCCCATTCTCCTCCACCCCCAGTCAGTCGGGGGAATCCGTCTTCTTCCTCACCACCCAGCTCCAGGGATGCATCCAGCTTCACTTCCCTCCTTGCATGTCCCTAGTGCCTGTCACAACGCACAGACCCCACGTGTGCAGCAGGCAGCACCCACTGCAGCCCTGCACAGGGCTGCGTGACAGTCACAAGCTAATGCGCCTTGGATTAAACCTGGGCAGTTGGCAACAGCAACCAGAGGAGCTCATCTCCAGCACAGGCAGAGGGGTGCTGCGAAGTCTGTATTAAGCACCACACTGGGCCTGATGAGCTCAGGTCATTGTCCCCCGTGGAAGTGACAGGCCCCCGAGTGGCAACAGCAACAGCAGCAGATGAAAGGAGGGTGGTTGGGAATTAGGATTTTCTTTCTTAGACTAACCAGCTTCTTGGCTTCAAAAGCGTCTCGCTCATCTCGAAGTTTCTTATTCATATCTCTGCTCCAAAGGAAGACACAGGAGAGACACAATGAAGCACTCATCAAAAATGGAGTAAAGACCAACATTTGAAAGCTAAAACAGAAAGGGAGCTTGGGACACAGATAAAGATGTTGGGACATCTTGGGATCCCAACTTGGCCAGACATGTTGGGATTTCCATGTATCCCAGCTCAGGTAATGGGCTCCACATGGTCCCCTCAGCCAGCAGCAAAGACTAAATCCCTTCAGCAGAGGGTTTACTTGGTGAAATAACACAGCCTGTACTCTGCCAGAGCTGGCCAGATTGCACAACTCTGGACGTAGAAAAACAAGCAGTGTCTACGCAATGCTTGAATACACTCCCATAGCTTTCTGTAGGAGAAAGAAGTACAGTCCTGAAACCCCAGCCCCTTACATGCACAAGAGCTCAGCATTTCCCCCCAGCCCTGTTCTTACCTGAGGAGCTCCAGCTGCCGCAGAAGGCTTTGTTTCTCTTTCTGCATGTTCTTGGAGACTCTAAACACATCCCTGGGTGAAAGGGATTTTAAAAGGGGAAATAAGTTAATGGGAGAGGAAATACAAAGATCCCTTTCTCAGGAACACTCACGGTGTTTTCAAAGATAAGGGCCTGCCTTATACTAGGAGGATTCAGAGGAAGCAGCACTGCCGCAGGAGCTGGGATGGCTGGGTTTACCCCAGCTCTCCCGCTCTCCTCCAACATGAGGGCAGGCAACCCATTTTCTCCTTTCACACTCCAGTTTCCTCAGCTGCTAGAGATGGGAAGGATGCTCACTGCCATCTGGATCTGAAATATCCCAATGTTCTAGCTAAGTATTATTAGATTAAGCCCAGAAACAGGAACACAAGTGATTAGAAGAGGATCTGTAGGAACTTTATAGAGGCAATGGTGAACTGAAAAAATAACATGAAGCAGAAGCCTCCTTTAGGCTGAGGAACATCTGTATTTTTTACAGTGCTTTTCTAGCCAAATATCAATGAACATATTCATTTCCCACTAAAGGCAGGTGGGAGCTAGCAGTATCACTCCCTGTTTAGGCCCATAAGACCACTAGGATGTTACTTCTTTTCCTCAAGAAAAGACAGGCAATCCTCTGACGAGACCAAGGCTTCTAATTAGAGATCCTTATTCTTTAACTACTTGCCCACCCCTTCCTTCTCTGCCTGGGTCCCTGCCCTGACACCCCCTTCCCTGCCCATTCCCACCTGTCCTTCTGCTCTTGCTCAAGCTGAGCCTCTTTCTGGAGCTTCTGTAATTGCCCCTTCACCACCTCCAGCTCCCATTTGCTCTTCTCCAGCTCTTCCAGCAGGTTTTCATTCAGGTGCCGAAGCCTTTCGTTCTGCACACGGGTCTCCAGCTGCTCTGAGTTCAGAGACTGTAGCTGATGTTCCAGCTGCAATGCAAGAGGAGGAGGGGTTAAACACAGAGAGGAAGGGTTTTGTGCTACAACCATGCCTGTAAAAACAGGCTGAAAAAGCAGATGTAAACAACGAGGCAGAAGAGAGGTAAACACAACTTAGGTCTACAGGACCACCAGCGGCATTGAGAAGGTGAATTGGAAGCAATTATTTCTCATCATGCCAGCACTGGGGAGCAAGCAATGCAATTAGTCAGGCATAGCTGAGGAAATGCTTCAGGCAGAGTGAGGAGCTTGCTGCTGTCAGGCATTGTAGAAATCAGGAGGACTGGAAAAATTTGGGCAGAAGGAAGGGTGTGTTTGTCGGGACTTATTAAACACAGTTGTTGAAATGCATCCTTTAGTTTGGGGGCTTCCTGAGCCCATGGCAGCTGAAAGGGGGATATATCAAGGTGCTAGGGGTATCTCACACTACACCTGGAAAGTCAAGTGATTGGGTGGCCTTTACTACTATTGGAGACAGGACCTTGGGCTAGAGATGTTGTTTAAAGGCCACTAGGGCACAGCCACACTCTAGGCAGCACAAGACCCCACCACAACTAACAAGCCTGATTTGGGAAGTTTAAAGCCTGCTGTGATGTACTCAACCAGTGATGTGATTCCTCACAAATGTGTTAAAGACAGATGCAGCAGTCAAACTCGCCCATCTCAGATGGCAAGTAGGGCATCGCAAGAAGGATCATACCGACACTTCAGTATCTAGCCACACCAGCTAACCAGGGCCCTCTGCTGACGCTGGTGCTACGCAGAAATTGTGGTACCCATCTGAGAACTTAGAGCCTCAAAATAAAATTATACAGTCCATGCTTGCAACCAGAGAGGAGCACCAGGAACCAGTTCTGACCAGTATAGTAGGTGGCAGAGTCAGCCTCCACATTTATACCTTCAGCTTGCCTTTTCTCTCAGCCTACCTTCTCCCCCTCTCAAAGGGAAAGTAAAGCAGCACACGGTGGCACAAGATAAAGTGCTTTTTTCTTGCTACCCTGCTCTCTGCCAGCACACACATACAACAGTCGTGAGCAGGAGAGAACAGAGCTGACCTTTCCTAGGTTCCTTGAAACACACGGCCCACATCTCTCCCCACTGAGGCTACAAGCACAAGTCACACCCAGCTTCGTCTGGAGACTTCCAGTCCTTTGGACATCAGGGAAAATTTGAGCATGACCACTTATGCTGAGCAGTGGAGTTGAGACTAAGAAACAGCAACCCCAGCCCACAGCCTTTGGATCTTTCAATAGGCCAGGGGACAGGCTTTAAGTAAAGCACCTGCCCCTCCCTAAGAAATCTCTATCACACACAACTCTCCCGTTTATGTTGTCTGTACTTGAAAGCGATATCGTAGAACACCACGATCACAATACTGGTCTTGCACCACAAGGGGGACCTGATTATCCACATAACTCTGAAGCTTGTACTAAGCTAAGAGCATCAGAAATGTCCATTCGAGTAAGAATAAGTGTCCCTGTAGCCCAGTACTCCACCTTGACCTATAGCAAGAGGAGAAAACCTAGGAAGAGCATGCCTGGACACCTAACTATGGTCCATTCCCCTCATACACCCCCAGCATCTATGATCCCTGGACTAGCGATGTTACAGGCCACATCCCTGGCTATTCCTCCGTTTAATAAACATTTACGAGCCTGTTGTCCATTTGTTTGTCCGATACGTTTTTGAACTGCTGACACGGCCTGCCTCCTGTGGCAAAAAATCCTGAAGTTCACCAATATTTGTGTGAAGAAGTACGTTCTTCTAAATCAAATTCATACTGGTCTTACTAAGTGTCCCTCTCCTCTGCTGTTGCTGGATTTAGGGAATAACAGTTCTATGTGGATCTCATCCACACCTTCCTGAGTCCATAAAGCTCGCTTACATCTTCCCTCAGCCCCCTCCTCTCCAAAATCAAGTCTAAGTTTTCCTAGTTTCTCTTCCTAAGGCAGATGCTCCATTTCCTTGATCATATTAGTTCTCTGTACCTTTGTGCTCAAGAAGGACACAGTGGAGTTAGAGGAGACCAGAACTGCACACACCAGTTGAGGCACATCAAGGGTGTGGGCAGCAGGAAAATGACGTCCTCTATCTTATTCTCAATATCCTTCCTGATGGCACCTAAGTTTTGCTGGCTTTTCCAGCTGCTGCACAATATGCTGATGATTTCAGAGAAGTGCTATTTCATCCACATTGCTGCTAGGTATCCAACTTGGATACCCCCAGTCGCCAGCATCTTAAAGGTACCTCCCATGAGTTGTTTCTGTGGGGGTCATGTCTCAGTTCTTCAGACAAAAAGGAAAAAGATATCCAGAATGGACCATCCCATACAAATGCCCATGCCAGGGACGGCAGGTTAAAGGGAAGTTTCTGCTTTGATCTTTTCTGTGACTGATTAATCAGTACGTCATTAGGTGCTGAAATGCACATACACAGTACGTACAGCTCTAAGCGTCACAGAACTGTTCACTCTGGGTTACTTTGGAGCAGCCAAAAACCACAAACTAGAGAAATCTGGCTCTTGTATGTCCATACACAGCTTTCTTACACACCACAAAAGGCTCCAAACTCACAACTTCCAAATTTTTACCCCGTCTTCCTTGCCAATAGTTATAGGAAGGAAGACTGTGCCAAGAGAAAACAAAGCAGATAAGAAAATGCGTGGACAAAACATTCACAGGAAGACATTACAGTTGAAGACAAGCCAATCACTTGACAAACCACTTCAACATCTTCAGAGACAGGAGAGAACTAGACTAGATAGTACCAGACTAGCTAGTACTAACCCTCAGCAGATGAAAACCTTTCTCAGCCAGAAAAAGTCTTAGCAGAAAGACAGTAGAAGGGGACGTGCTTCTTTAGGAAGGATTTGGGTTCTGTTACCTTCTTCTGGCGGTACAGGATTTTCTCCAGCTCCTGCTCTTTGCTGCGCAGTTCCTTCTGGAGCAGGTTGCTCCTGTCATGTCTCAGTGCTTCCTGCAGAGTAAAGATACACAGCTGTGTATACAGCACCCAGCACAGTAAGAGCTGTTCCTTGGCCAGATAAGGCACCACCGCTGCTTCAGACCAGTTTGACTTCAGCCAAGAGAGATGAGGTACCTGGCAGATCAGCCTCTCCCTTTCTGCTTTGATCTGTTGCTCCATTTCTTCATAAAGGCACCTGACTTCTCGGTCATGGTCTGTCTCCTTCCTACAAAAGGCAGGGTGCACACAGGTCAGGGGAGAGAAAGAGAATACAGAAAGAAAACAGGAGAGGAGGGTGGAAGCAGATTCCCACTAACAGCTGTGTGGCATTGAGTGGGATTTTAACCAGACCAAATGTTACGCGTGGGCACTGATCCAAAACAAACCCATGGGGATCAGATCAAGATAAAGAGTAATTTTATTACAGCAAGAAAAATCTCTGCGTCCTGTAACGCAGTCTCTCCTTGCATTTGAGGCAGCATCCAAGCATCAGCTGGTTCCTGACAGCAAACGGCCATTATGTTCTCCTTACCGCTTCAATGCCTGTTCCATAGACTCCTTCTCGTGATTCACCTCCCTTATGTATGACGAAACACGCAACAGAAACTCTTCAAAATTGGATAAGAGCTCCGGATGCTCCTTTCGTAGCCGAGCCCAGAGCTCCCGAATCTCACGCGGACTGGAGCAAGCATACAAGAGAGAAGGAAAGCAAATGAGTTTCTGTGTCATCTTATGGACTGTTATTCCAACTCCAACATTCACTCGGGACAGACAAACTGCCCTTCTCCTGTGGTGACCTCCATTACACCATCATAGCAAAGAGGGGAGTTGGACAGTGACAGAGCATGCATGTGGAGCGGGATCTACTGCAAGGTTAAAATAAAGGAAGTCATCTGAAAGAGGAAAAGAAAAGTCTAGGAAGCAAACCTGGAATGATTATTTTTCAAGTACTCAGCAATAACACATTTGGTGTTTAAACCAAGACTCGAAGAGATGAACACTCAGCAGATTTGCCGTGAGCTATGGTCAAGCAGCAAACGGTTATAGCCCAGGGATTTTAGCACACATCACACAGGTCGCGTTCTCACACCAGGACTGTACTGCCGGATGCTACTGTCCTTGTTATTTATTTATTTTACAGGTTTGGAAACTGAGGCACAAACAAAAGAAGCAAATTTGCCCAGGTGTCACATCAGGATAATAACGGAGGAAGCCCTAGAAACCCAAAGTCTCCTTTTTCTGAACCTGCAATAATGATTACACTGTTTTAGCATTTAATTCATCGCAACTTGAACACAGCATTTATAAACTTAGTCTTTCCCAAAGAGTCTTATAAGCCTGCAGACATCACTTCATGCTTCTTTTTGGGGAAGAGCTTTTTATTATTATTTTTCATTTTTTTTTAAATCCATGAAGTACTTTACAGGAACTGCCTTGAAATGTACAGAATAATTATACCTATAGACATTATCCAAATAGATATTTTTCGTTGTCTATGTTATTTGTCTCCCTTAATATTCTTTGTGAAACAAACAAACAAACAAAAAACAACCAAAAAGCTCTTGATTCCCCCTGCCACCATTGCACGATAGCCTCCTTTCTCTGTCCCAAGTTGAAAAAGTTACTAGCACTTCATCAAAACTTTGTGTTTTAGATAACAGAACATACTGAGTCCCGTTAATAAACAAAGCCATTTCTGTCTAGCAAAACCAGTAAAGATAGTTCAGATTTCTGTTCCGGCCCCAATTAGCTTCTGTTTTGTATTATTTCTTTACAACAGCTGGCTTGGCACAAAGGCATGACATGACTGAACTCATTGCATAAAACTGTGAGTAAGCGGTCAAAATAAAACACAGGATAATTCCACTTTAAGACTTGATGCTTCTCAAAGCAGAGTTATAAACAGCAGAGGCTACTTTTCCAGAACAATAATATGGCCTTTCACAGTGCCATTCCATTATTTGAGGCATAACAGCTTTCCAGAATTTTTCAGGACAGGAGAAGTTGTGTAGCATGAAAAGAAACATGAGGTGCTTTGCATCACAATGCAAATGAGACAAAAAAATCTGTTTCATGACAGATGCAGCTCTGAAAGCAGCAAACTCCTTCACTCAGCTTCTGTCTCCAATCCTGTCTACCTCCTGCCCCTACCTGAGCTGCTCCCTGCAAATTGGCAGCACTGTTGGACTACGATGCCTGAAAAAAAGGGCTGCCGCAGATGCTGTTGGGTACCCCAGCCCCAGCAGATGTGCATCAGTAAGAACCAGTTATGCATAATGCTTCACTTGGGAAGGCCCTAAAAAAACACTGGATGATACTGGGGCCATGGACTGTACTGAGGCCACATGCAAGGGCATTAATACCAAATTTCAAGGCTCAGGTGAGCATCCCTTGCCCAGTTTAGCCTTTCACACTCTTCAACATCAGCCCAGTCCCAAACAGTCCCTTGAGCACAGTTCTTTCACAGAGACTCTTAGAACTAAGATTGTCTGAACATATGTGAACAGTCACCCACCGTTTTGGAACAGACAGCACACTCATCCTCCTTACCTTGTCTAACCCTCACATGCTTCTTTTCATTTGCTGCATGCAGATGGGCTTCCACGTCACCAACTCCTACATTTTACAGCTGTGATATGTACTCTAGTTTGGGAAACTCTTTGCGAAAAGCACTGCACTAAAAGTAATTGTAAACTGATGAGAAAACCCAGACTTCACTGCATTTGTTACCAAGCATATAAAAACCCAAGACAGCAGTACAAAAAGCCCAAGCAGTGCTTCAGAGAGCAAGCAGCTCAGTTCACTTCTTTGGTATTTGCTGGTACTTTGAAGTTTTGGTATTGCAAGATCAAAACAGGGTAGAAGTAATGCCATGCGACTCCCCTACTTACTCTTCAAACATGTGGGCTGCTCCAAGCTGCTCCATCATGGAACAGAATCGTTTCTCTTCATCATCTGCCACATCCAAGTCATCTGACCAGCCTGACTCAAAGGTCTCCTCGTGTCTGGAGTGATCCATTCTCCCAGCCCCTTGACACAATTCGATCCCTATTAACTTTCCTGGTGGAAGGAGAAGGGAAGAAGGAGAATAAAGAAAGTCAAATTGGACATCATTTAATAAGCTGCTATTTAAATGGCAGCCCGACAGAGCTCCGCTAGAAGCTGCCTGCACGCTGCTGGTGTAGAATACAGCTCCTGGTCAGTAAAGAGCCTCCGTTCTGACGTCCTGAATGATGTCAGCGTCCAGAGTGCAATGCTGGGACTGAAACTGGCTCCCAGCCCAACAACAGGCTGTTAGGGCTCTACTCACATCTGCGTGAAGATGATCTACCACCCCCGGCCTTGGATTCTCAGCATGTGAAGCATGCAGCGTTAGGTCACTTCACTCCCATGGAGCGGTGCTGTGGGTTCAGTTGCCAATGATCCCACAAGCTCCCCCTCGGACTGCAAGCCCAGCACTGAACAGCACCATGCCTCAGTTCCCCAGCTTAAAAAAAGTGAGGAGGAGATAATTACCCTTCCCTTCTCACGTGCTACATCTGTTCTGATTCAAGTGCTATGGGACAAGGACCGTCTCTTGCTAAGATTGTGTAGAGTGTCTGAACAAAATGAACTCCAAACACGCCCTCCTGCTCCATCCCACGTACGGATGGCTTCCAGCTATCTGGATCCTGTTTCATGCTGAGACACTAATGCCATGAGAACTTCATGCTATGCAAGGCATGTGAAAAATACTGGTGCTGGGAACAAATTCTTCTCAAAGAAACAAATGAAGCAATCCTATCCAAAACGCAGGCCCTCATCCTGTATACAGAGGTCAGACCTCCATTAGCAGCTACTCTTCCTTTCCAAAACATATCCGCTTGGTTCAAAAGGCAGAAATTACATCCCAGCTACAGGGTCAGGAGCCAAGGATGTTCAGAGCATGGATGAGAACACGAAGCTGCTCTAAGGGGAAAAATATCGCACTATTTATGTACCTCATATCACTTAACTTGACCACTTCTTAGATCCGTATGTCCAGAACCTAGCCGCTTCTCTCCCACTCTTAAAATGTGCTGCAAAAAAACTTGCAGTGTGGAGATACAGGCCCTACTCAGCTTAAAACCTGAGGCGCGGGCAGTTAATTAAGGAGATGGGCTTAGACTAGACACTTTGGATGTCTGCTTTAAAGAAAGAGTCGTTATTTCTCATTACCTCTCTTTTACAGCTGGGAAAATTGAGGTAAAGAATGATCTGAAGGTTGTTTTGACGTTCTAGAAGGATCTCAGATTGCTTTAAATTGAACATTTTAAATGTATGCTCTTTTGTCAGTTGTGCAGATGCACCCTGTAACCTCTCAGAGGCCATGCAAGGAGCACTCTGAAGAAGCAGAGTTGATTGCAGCTTGAACCGCTTCCCTTGGTTTCCCCCCTGCACACTCCAGCAGGAAGACGGCAATATGACAGGCCAAACTCTTGAGTTAGGGGCAAAGTCTGAAAAAGATTTCAATGAAGCCAGACACAAAGAACAACCACAAAGAAAAGAAATGCAGAAATGAAGTGTTTTGCCTAGACTGAAGCAAAGGCTACCAACACAGGGCGGTACCTGACAACAGGTGGCTGACACAAAGAGAAATCTTGCCTACCTCTACCAGCAATGGCACTGAGGCAAGTACCCTCATAATGTCCATCTATGGCTATGGCTGGGACAAATGCCTCAAACAATGACATTTGGGAATAACCAAGTCACAACACAGAGGGCACTGTGGATGCCAAGGTGCCCAAATGGCAGCCATTCACCTTCTACACAGCGCTGGGCAGGAAAGCCCACGCTCCCGAGATGACTCTTGTTTCTGGCAAAGGCAGCAGAACCAGCCAACAAGGCTTCACCCCCGCAGGCAGGGACACAAGGCAGACACAGGCGTAGTCAACAGGCACTCAATGGGTTAACGCATTCCCAGAACAGGCTGGCCCAAGACACAGCTTTCCGTGTTTATTCTGAGGAAATCTTTACAGCTTCTCCTTTCAGGGCTGGCTGTTTCTGGACATTCAAATTGAAGCACCAAAAAATCCGCCCTCCCTCCAAGCTGTGAGAAAGCCATGAGCAACCACAATCTGAGCAATCAGGACACTGCAACTCAAGAGTCTCCTCAATCACTTCTGAAAACCCTAGACCACCTGTGTTCACTTGCTTTCACCTGATCCCATTAAGACACCTCCATGTCCAAGGAAGGTGCTAACAGGGTGCAGATTTTCTAAGAGCTTACAACCAGCTAAGGCAAATAAGCACCCACGTGCTTACTAGCAAAGGTTATTAGTGCCATGGCGTTCCTCCTCCTTAACACCTCTTGCCCTGCTTGTGCTGCTGGATGACGACTCTGGTATAGGATTAGCGTTCTCCTAGTGTTTCGAAAAGGCAACAGCAAGAGGAAAACAAAAGCTCATTTGCCAGTGTGCTAGCCTACTAACAGGACTCCTACTAATATCCTTGAATAGCACTGCATAAACCAGCTAGAGACAGTTGCCAAGAGACATACTCTGTCCCCTCATCCAACGAGGGTTCTTACCCAGATGAACAGTTGTGGATCACATGGCCAGATACAGGCTGCAGTATGTACTGTCTCCAGCAGGAGATGTCCAGAAGCTGGCTCTACCAGGTAGGCAGGTAACAGTTGTGGAAGAAAGCAACACAAAAGCCTCAGAAAGAGGGATAGCAGTATTGCACACACACCTTCCCCAATGATATTCACATAAGGCATGGGGCATTGCCCTGCATAGCTGGGACAGTTTCAGCAGAACCACTGCACCTTCTTTCTTACCAACATAAAACATCATGTCACAGGTGGGCTTTTTTCCTTCCTCTGCCTCTATGCAGCCCTTACCTAGGCCCATGCTGAACTCCACAGGCGTCAGGTATCCGTTATTGTTCTGTTCCAGGCTGTCAAAAACAGTCTCCAGCTGTTCAAGGCTTAGGGGGAGTTCACTCTGAAGCCGCTGCAGAGACAAAAGAATGAACAAAATTAAGACATGACTCAGGTCTTCCCCGTGACTAACTCCTGTACCTGCCGTCCTCAGCTTTGGCCCACAGCGATGTGCCCTTTCAGCAGTGCATCCTGGCCGGGATGCGACAGCCTGCCAGTACGGCTGAGTGATGACACAAATGCCTGTTTGGACCCACTGATACGGCAACGCTTTCCATTCCTGGATGATTCAACCAGGACTGCAGATAGGGAGCTTCGGGTTATTTTGTTTGGAGGGAGCTCAACCCTCTTCTTCCCCCACTTCAGAACCGCGGCCTCTAGCTCACTGCCTGCCTCCCTCCACCCCTGCCCAAGCCCTGCCCAAAGGTGGCCGCCCCCCCCCGGGGCACTGCCAGCCTCCTGTGCCCACTGCTGCTCCAAGAGAGCTCTCTACAGGCACATCAGGTACCAGCTCCATCTCTTTGGCCAGGGAGGGAGGCCAGACTTGCGGGTGTCTGAATTCAGTTCCCAGCTCTTGCAGGAAATCTTGCAGATCATAAACAAAACATTCAGTCCATAACAGAGAGTTAGCTTTCTTCTGTCATCTTCTGCCTGGTGGGACTGTATCGCTATTCCCACAACACAGACAAGGAGCAGAGATATTTCCCTTCATAATACATGTGTAGAGCACCTATTTGAAGGGGCACCCAAAGAAGCTTCCAAATAACAAGAGGTGTAGACTAAAACCTCATTACTGTCCGTTAAACACGCAGCTTTAGATAAAAGCGTAATAGATATTTATTAATGTAACTGTACAAAATTAGGCATCACACAACACAAAACTAAGTGAGTCAATAATTAAACCAGCATGTACCTGCCAAGTGTTAATTATAGGGGAAGATATGAGACAGAAGAAAAACAATCCACATGTAACCTTCCTGATAAACCATTAAAAAAAAACTCACAAAGAACTATAGAGATTCTGTTAACAAATACTGTTTTTAACAGAAAGCAGCAAAACACATTATTCTAGAGCAAAGTTATAGTTCAGGCCTCAGTTTTTGAGATCAGGCTTTAGCTATGATTGAGACAAAAAAGTTATACAGCTTTTTTTGTTAAGAGGTTGGTGGATTTTTTTCGTTGTTGACTGTGTTTTGGGGGGAGTTGTTTTTTTGTTTTGTTTTTTTTAAATTTAAACCAAAGATTTTCCCCCCAGATTTCCCATCCACTGCATGCTTAATGTTTGTAGGAACTGTTGCAAATTTTTTTGATTTTATGCGTTCCTTAAAAATTTGGAATTGCAGTCCCCCTTGTCCCAGGAATTCCCTGGAGGTCCAAGGCCCTCCTGGGATTTTTGTGTCCTAGCAGCTGGCTGTGGCAGAATTTGGCTCCCAGAAATCTGAATGAGACAGAGCCCATGTGCACACCCACGCTTGCCAAAATAAAGACATGCCAGATTCTCCCTTCTCCTGCCACCCATGACTTCACAGCTACTGCCAGGAAAGGGGAAGGATTTTTTCCCTCACCTGCATGTCCACCTTGGTGATAAAACCCTTCTCATCCTTGTCACACAGCTGGAAGAGCTCTCTTGCCTTCTCGAGCATCTCCACCTGCACATCTTCCAGTTCGCTCATTTGGCTGGAAGGAGAAGCACCAGGAGCCACCCCATCCTCCTCATCCCCTTCCTCTTTTCCTTCCCAGTGGACGTATCCCAAGAGCGCTGCCCTCTGCTTCTCCATCTTCTCAAAGTCTTTTCCCCCAGGGCAGGGGCAAACAGAAGAGCTGCGGGGCAGGAAACAGAGAAACCCCAGTCAAACGTGACCCTCCACTTTCACCCCACACATCATCTAGTTATGTGCCGTGTTGGTTTGAAAGAACAATATTCAGCATCTGTATCTGTTACTGAGAGGAGGGGGGAAGACAGACAGCGTGCAGAGAGTTTGTGTCAGAGGTACACAGGTACACACCGTACACAACATGGGCATAACCAAGCCTATCACACAGTCGTAACCCTCCACACCGTGATGGGCTCCAGACCTTGCACCGAGCAACGATGCTCCTTCACCATCTCTCCTCCTCTGGCTCAGACCTACAGGGCAGTCAGAGTTCTCTGCTGGTGAAAGCCAGCTGCCAAGGGAAGGTTTGAGCAAAGACGAGAGGATAGGAAGGGAATATTAAAGCATGCAGGCAAATCTGCAGGGGAGCACGGTGATAGTCCCACATCAGCTGAGACAGGGGCTCCAACACCGTGAGCAGGGCCAGCTCCCAGCTCTCGCACAGCTCCCTGGATGCCCTGACCGGGATGCTTCTCTCTGGTCTTGGTTCCTCTGGTAATAACATGTGCTTTTCCTCTTCCTGTTGCTTTTCTACATCACCTTTGAACACCAAACCTGCATCACAACTGCAAGAGCCCAGAGCAGGACAAAGGCAGAGGAGGAAGATCTGTGCAAGTGATGGAGGAAAGAGAAGAAGAAATGTCTCTCCCAGCCCTCTGCCACCCAGGTCCCCTGGCTAGCCTTCCACCTCTGACATTCTCTTGTTAATGCTTCCCAAATAGTAACTCCACCTCCTTTCATGTTATTACAGCACAAAGAAAGATCAGTCAATTCCTACACTGGGAAAAATTTAATAAGCTGGGCACTCCTGCCCCCCTTGCCTCCCAGCCTCTGTTTGGAGAGCTCATAAGCTGCCAAACACAATTTTAATCTGAAATGTTCACCTTTATAGGAAGGAAACCACACGACTATGGAGATATTTCAGAGGCCAAAGAAAATAATTCCCATTACTTACAAGTACCTAAAACAAAAAGGCGAGGAATGAGAGCACCCCTTTAAGCACAGCACTGTGATTGTAAAGATGTATACAACACATCTCTACCCCAACCCACCTTCCAACTTACTGATGCCACGTAACACTCTCCAGCTTTTCTTCATCAACACCACCACATTTTTTAAGCCTTGTGGCACTGATTGCTTTAGACTTCTTCTGCAGATTTGTGTTCTGCATTGCAGGGCAGAAGTGAGCTGTGCAAACAGGCTGAGAGCAGATTTAAACAGTACTAGACAAAGAGGGCTTGAGGGTTGGGTTTTTTTCTTTTTAATCTCCAAGAAACTAAAAGCCACGTACAGATGCCATGATAAACAAACAAGTAATTCTTAGTGCAATGAGAGGATAAAGAGCATGATGGCCAGGAAGAATGTCACACGCAAGAACTATACGAAGCTGACACAAAAGGAGAAGGCAATTATGCACCACGCTATTTGACTCTGTTTATTACTGCTGGTTTGTGAGCCAGAGGATGGTTCTGCTTCAAAGAACAAGCAGAACGCTTCGCTCCCCCTTTCAAATCAGTGTTTTTTCAGGGCACCTCCGTTTAGCGTCACTTGAGAAGATACTTATTTGAAACTCTGCAGAAAACCACCTATAAATGAGTACTATTATATGTTTCTAGTGAAGAAGACATCCCTGGCAAGCAACGGACACAGAGCTGGCCACAAGCTTTGGGGAATACTGCAGAGGAAAGGAGGGAAGAAAGCATGAAAAACAAGAAGGCAGGGGGCATCTTTCGCTCTTGCTCTTTTTCAAGCAAACCCTCCTACCAAGCTTTTTTTTTGTGTTATGGAGGCAACACAGTAAAATTTGGAGACTAAAGCTTGATTCTATCCATTAGCTAGACAGTCAGGTTGCTTCTGATGGCAAGTCTGTACGTGTTATTAGTAAAGAGGTCGGAAAGAACCCCAGCTTACTTTTCACATTCAAGCAAAAGTTGCAAAGCTGGCCTTGAAAGAAAAAAAAAAAGACCCAAATATCTTATGCTGCATAGATTTTACAGATGATTACAGTGAGGAATCACATAGCCACAGTCATGAATGATAATTATTGGCTGCTAGAGGCCACCTTGCTGAAGTATTTTGCCAGACCCTTTCCTTCTGCGAAGACACAGCCTCAGCACAAGCAGCACCCTGTACCAGACGGTGAGTGCAGGCAGCAGCAGGGGAGGAAACAAAACGGGAGTTCAAAGCAAGAGCCATGACAGGATTGCTGAAAACAGCCAGAATAAGAAAAAGTGCAAGTAAGCAATTTGTTTTCTGAAACATCCCTCTAGCTGCCTAAGAAACACTGAGGTCCCCAGAAGTAAAAAAGGTCTTACTGTCTTGTTAGCAGCTTCCTCGTTTCTATTTCAAAAGCCAGAGCGGCCCACGCAGATGACATCTCCCCAGCTCTGCTGCAGCAAACAAAAGGTTGTACGAGGAGGGTGTTATGTTCTCGCTCGGAAATGTATTTGCAAGCTGAAATCAGACCTGTTACATCACTACCTCTAGCATCTCCACACTTTATCAAAAGCCTAGCTGTACTGTAGCTCCCAAACACTGGCTGAGCTAAAAGCCTCTTAACTAGAAGAGCTGGGAGCCTGACACGGACAAGAGTCTGAAAGGATTTCACTCACATGTAAAAGACCAAGCCCATTAATTCAGTGCTCGAGTGCAGAATCTCTTGTTCAAGCTGCTTCAAGAGGCTTCAAGCCAGATGTAGCTCTGTCAATGGTGAGACAGCACTTGCAGAGGAACAAAGTGGCAAATAAGAGAGAGCCCCAGTAAGCAAAATACACTGCAGCTCTGATGAACTTCTCTCCCAGAGGCCTTTGACTGAGAAGCTCTTCGTCTCCATCCCTGTTTGTAAGGGCACTGCATGCTATAAATGCAGATGAAGCACAAAGCAGATGTCAGTCTAACAAGTGCTGTCATACCTTCCCCAGTTACAGATCATCACTGCAAACTACTGGGGAAGCAGCTTCATCAGCAAGATGCAGAACATCACTGAAGGACAACTTTGAAAGAAGCTGAGGTCACTACACTACTAAAACTGGGGACTGCTGCCCAAAAGTGAGGCCAGCAGAGCTGGCTTGGGTGCAGAAAGATCAGCTTGGGAAGAGCCATGCTTGCCTGACACAAGTAGAGAAGACAGAGAAGATAGGTATGGGCATCTAGTGCTTTTGGTCAGGCAAACCTGCCAGGCTCCCCCGACAAGATGTAGCCAAGCCACCTCCAGTGACAAAGCCAGGGGTCGTTACCAAAACTTCCTGACAGGATTCATTTTTCCAGGTCTCTTCTGCCAGGAGAAGGTAGTCATTGAGTCAGCACCAGTTAAGAATTAATTTCCACACCTAGCCTGGGGTCAGGACAATCTCTGTATCTTGGGCTGTTGATTTCCATCATAAGAACATCCGCAAGGGGTCATGGCAGAGTTCATCTAGCCCAGCATCTTGCCCTCAACAGTGGCCAGGAATGGCTGGTGGGGGAAGAGTATCAGCAGGGCAAGCACAAAGAAGGCTTCCCTGAAGAGAACTGCCAGCCTCTAGCCACTGTCAGCCTGGGGCAATTCCTGAGCCACGTGGTTCCTCCCTCATCTTCCAAGACACTTGTCCAGCCTCCCTTTGAATCCATATCAAAACATTTACTGTTCACATGAACGTGCTGATAGAAACGGGGTGCCTCCTGCAATCAGTGGCTGCTGACAAAGCTTCATGGGACTATTCCAGTTTTCTGGGTACACTGACCAGCACCCACTCCATAAGAGATGGAGTCCCAGCTTCAGCTCAAAAAAGTGCTTCCTGCCACTTTCACATCTGGAAACCATGGCAGAGACCAAAAACTGGAGATCTACCAGGAAGATGGAAGTGCCAGGGACATAGGGGCACCAACAGGCTCCAAGCACCCTGGCTAGCCTCGGTGTGTAATGTTCTTCCGCACCCACCCCAGGGGTTTGTCTGCCTGTGCTCAAGGTCAGCTCTGATACTGCAGTCAAGATTTGGACAGTGTCCAACATCTGAACAACCTGATACAAAGCTCAAGAGAAAGCCAGTCTTCAGGACCTGTTGATTACACCTGGTATCTCCTGCCATGGTGTGTGCTGGGGCCCAGCATGCAAAAATTCACCTGCTTCTCTGACACAACTTTCCCAGAGCCTGGAAAGCATAGATCTTCTCAGACACAGCACAGAACGGGAAATTCGACTGCCAGTAAAGACAGCTAACACCAGGTCTTGCATTTCTATGCAGTGGTAACTCAGACCAGTCTTACATGCATATTTTAACCACCTGAGGCATAAACTGCAGTTTGTCCTGTGCAAAGCTGTGCCAGAAAGTCAGCTGGATCCCATGGGCATGGCATTCTTTGGGGAAATCACAAGACCTGAATTTTAATCCTGACTCAGCTTGCCATATGGCCTTGGGTAAGTCACGTCACCTGCCTATGCTTATAGATTGTCAGCTCCTCCAATTTGATTCTGATGCTTGTGACAGCTGGCACTTTATTTTAAGACTCGGTTCCTGGAGACTGATCATTACATGTGAAACTCAAGCATCAAAATAGTTTCAAAGTCTCGAAGCTGAAGAATGAAAAACTTGAACACAGAACTTGAAGAAACTGCAAATTTTAACAAACAGAAGAACAGACCTAAGGTGCTTTTCCTGGTAAAGGGGAGATACTACTTTCAAGGTAGTGTTACACTGTCATGGTTTCCAATTTATTGTCTCGGAAAGCTGCTTGTAGCAGTAAGCAGTGTTAAAGAGGTAAAGAGAAGTCATGGCTAAAATGCTATCAACAGCCAAGTCTTTATCTATGTGACCGTGACCACCGTGTGCACATGACAACTTTGGGGTTTGTTTGGTTTTTTTTTTCCACAGCCTGATGACAAGGAGGAAAGGAAAGTGGGGAGCACAGCCAAATTTTCCACAGCTGGTCCTCAGATGACCCCAGTCACCACAGGGCATTGTACATGCACTGAAT